CTATGTTTCTATATTTTAAATTTTAAGAGCGAAATGAACTTGCCACCAACAATTTGTAATTTTCAATTATCACTCTTTTGTATTATTTTCAATATTAAGCAAGGTGGCTTTAGGGATTATTGTGAACTATGTACCACTTATGAACTGACCATCATGTCGAAGTTTGGGAAATGCCAGTGGTGAGGGTTAGAGGTCACGAAGCGGTAACAGCTTCATTAAATGAACTTTGCTTGGTCCTTAAAGAATGGAAACATAACGCAATATTATATTATATGCAACTTCAATGACAGTATGAACGGACAAGGGAGGCAATACAATAAGTATTATGGTATTTTTTACACGATTTTTTTTGTTTCTGTCTTGAGTATTACAAATGTTTTCCTTATCAAGTTAGTTCTGTTATCGTTATTAAAACTTTTAATAACCTTTTACTTTTTTATTTTTTTATTAAATTTTTTTTTTTTCTTTAACATTTTTTAAATTTATATAGAGTAATCCAATACAGCGTAACATGACGTTACGACAATAATCACCAGCAAGTCACCTCGTCACATTGAAAACAACATAAAAAAGTATTAATAACTAAAAATAAATTGCAAATTGTTGGTGGTGCAAGTTTATTTATTCTAAAATTATTTTAAATTTTATGTTTTGCAAAATTTTAATAAATGCCAAAAAAATATTCTAGAGACATGGTTCTGACAGAAAAATAAAGTTAGGGTGTGTTAAAGTTAGGGTACATATTAAAGTTAGGTGTATTAAAGTTAGGTAACTTCACAAAAAAACACAACAAACTACTATATGTTATCCAAAAACAAATAACACCATTGTAAATCTATAAAAACTTCAAGAAAATTAAAATCATGAAATTTAAGAAAATGATATAAACGTTATGACATCGACCAATTTATATATGTGCGAACAATGTCTCTGATAATTATCTGCCTAGGGAGAGTCTTAAAAGTCTACAAATTGTTGTCAGACGATGAAAGTTTTAACCGACAACTGCGGAATGAAGAAAAAATTAATAAATCAAGGTATTAAAATATATTACATAGTTGTATAATGGTTTAGTTAATAAATTATTAATAGTAAAATACAGATAAAGTAGTAAAATATAGCCAAAAAATAGTAAATAGTAAAATATAGCCAAAAAATATAGATACATAGAAACTAGAATAAAAAAAAAAAAAAAAAAAAAAAAAAAAAAAAAAAAAAAAATCGAATTAAAATAATATTTTTAAAGCCAACTGTCACGTAGATTTGATTCGATAATACTGCCTATACATTAAGAGCGCTTTCACACACGCCAGCAAAATCGGTGCCGGTGTCGGAGCCGAAATCGATTGCAATATAAATAAAATTAGCTTCTTCACATATAATTCGGGATCCGGTAATTATTATTTTGTCCGGCAGCATTTTGCCGGGAAATACTATAGAATACAACAGTAATTTACTGGACGGTGCCGCTGCCGGTGTCGTCGCCCCTTGCAATATAAATAAGTTAGCTCTTTAACATATACTCCGATCCGGTAAATTAGTAGGCCCGGCATCATGAGCCGGCAAATGCATTGGTCTTGGATCTCGACAAAACGGATGCCGGACCGATCTCCGATTTATCGATTTTAGTGTTTACCCAATTACTTTACATTTTTTCAACCAAAAAAAAGAATCGGAACTTTTGGCGCAGTTAGTTTCTATTTGACAAGTAGATAAAATCACAGCCATCCCATCTATTTCGAATGGGAAAAGTCCGCCATCTTTATTCTAAAGTTTTGGCAATTATTAATTTGAGCTCTTAGCTCTTAGCATTTTTCTACCAAAAAGTTTATAATTTTTTAAGTTTGTAAAAATACGTATCATTTATTGCTATTAATTTATATAAAGTGTGAAAAATGATGACGTGGAGTTTGATGTTTTTTCCTTTAATCAGTTATTTATGATAACAATAACATATTTAGTTAATAGCACATTTAAATACCAAAGTTGTAGAGGACTTAATTCTCGACAACTTCTAAAATAATATGTCGAATAAAAATCATTTTTATTAATTTACCTTATTGATACAGCAATCATTTCCTTGGGAGGAACAGAGAGTCTCATTGGAGTATCCTGGTGCTTTATACTTTCGCTTAGTCTCTCCACAAGGAAATCAAAACAAGATATACTCATACGAAAATAATTAAAAAATTTATTGTTGTCCTTGGTAAGTTTTTCAAAAAGAGTATAAAAATTGCCTTCTATGTACCGAGTGTCCCACTAAGAATAGCTCTCGGCTGTATCTCGGAAAGTATTAGTCGTAGAGCTTGCGGAACAGAATATTTATGACTAAAGAGAGCATGATAAATTGCTGGAAAATTACTTTCAAGTTTGTAGAGCGGCCGCTAGAGGGTGCAACTGCTATTAAAAATAAGAAAAAGGAGTTTTTACACAATTTTGCTTAGATAACGGATACTATAAATAATAGATTCATAATCTTCAGTAAATTTTGCATATTTTTTAGTTACAGCCATTATTCCCTATCTGCCAAAATAAAGTGGTGGGGGAAGGTTAGATCTGTTTTTATTTAAATGTTAATAACTCCGGACTGGTTGATCGGAATACAACAAGTGAGGGCTCGTTTAAAAGAGCGTTTCTTACTCTATATTATACCATAATAATAATAATAATAATAAGGTTTTGAACGTAGACGCTAGGGGGCGCGGACTTACAATGTAACAAACATTGCGCGTTTTTTTTCAGAAAAATTAAATGCGCTAGTATATGTAATTTTATTATTATTACTTTTTTTTTATTCAGTACATCATATTGCACTGAGCGTATTTACCGTACTGTTCGTGCATACGGTAATCGGCACCAAGGCCAGAAGTGTATCCTATATAGTAGATTATAATTTGAAAAAAAATATCATATACAAATGGTGTCTCATATACTAGTCAATTATGGAAAAATTCACAGTCCTTTACAAAGATGCAACCGGGGGGGGGGGCATTGAAAATGAAGAATAAAAACGTAAAAATATGATTAGTGTTAATATGAGTGTATTACATACATATGTTTAAATAACGAAATTAACAAAAAACAACA